TCTTTCCTCTTCACCCCATATATATTCGACTAACTCTATATTCCCCAGTCCCCTTTATACCTGATGGCGACGACTGCATGATCCCCCTGCGTTCACCTTGAAAACAATGCGGACCCCCACAAAATTTCTCCGCCCCACCCCCCGTCCCCGGTGATAATTAGGACTGGTCCTTAGCTGGATAAACGATATTTTCACTTCCTGTCTCGTTCAACCATTTTGAACGGATGATATTGTTTACATTGAGGCCTCCAGTTAAAAATGGCCTCTGGCTTCTTGCGGATTTTTTTTCGCTTTCATTCAGCTCTTTCTCAACACTCATTGTAACTGTAACTGTGGTCGCAGTATTTCACCTCTTTCCATCCATCCTGATCTCATTCAGACTCTGTGACGTCAGTTTCCCCGGCAGTTAGTTTACAAACCTATCCGTGACGCAAAATGTTCTCTGATTCAAATTAGGGATAATTAGCATAATATTGCTACGGTGATAAGAGATGGTCGATAATTGCGTCATATCACGCTATAATCACCTCGCGCAGGGTGATTATGGCAGGGGCGCTAAATTTCAAAATGGCAGCCTCGCGTTTTGTCAATGTTACTGAGGAAGGGATAAACGCAATAGAAGAACTAACAACTCTGAAGAGCTCAAAAGATGCTTTTAAGTTTGGGGTAACACTTTTTATAAAAAGAAAGACAGGAAGTTTTTACTGATTGGATTAAATAAACCTCTTAAATTCAAGAGGAAATTGGCGGCTCGTCTCTATTCGAGTAAACAGTGGCATTTGAAAGCACCGGAGCAATTATGATTAAACAAGTTTTCGCCTCAGGCTCATTTAATATTGTTGAATAATCCGCTCGACTTCGTCTCGGGGACTAATAAATTCAACAATTTCACTTCTCCCACGAGGGTTTTCAGAGGTTGCAAAAACCGTCCAAATCACGCTGTGAACTGGGGAGAATCTTCTAACACTGGTCGAGAGAAAATGGTAACTAGTTGAATGAACACGTTATGGCGGCCAACAGTTGTCAAAAACTGAGTTGTCAAAAACTAAGTTGTCAGTATCGAAGAAAGCTTAGAATTCTTTTTGTGACTTGTTAACTTATGTGTTTTGTACCCCTTGTGAGTAACGTCATCTTTGAATCGAAAATATGAGTGATATTCGAGATATTTTAGAATGGGATCAAGGGCTTGCTTCCGTGCCTACCAAAGAAGCTATCGTTGGGGGAAACAAGGTAAATTTGTACTTTATTTTGATATTTAAACGGGATTTCTTGCATTAATATATTGACGATACAGGTTATGTTTGCATTCACACCGTATGTGATTTAGCAAACTTTAAAATCATTTGTGAGATCGTTATTTAAGTTGGTAATAGACTACTTCTCGCT